GAACGGGGAGGGGAATGCAGGAACGAGACAGGAGACCAGGTGGGACTCTGTTACCGTGGTGCTGGTGGGAGGCCGTATGGTGACATGGACTGGAATGAAGATGGCGGAGAGAGTGGGACGCAGGGCAGTTTTTGTAGGAATTCCAGGCAGCTCCCAGGTGTCTGCCCTGAGGATGGGAGTGCCTGGAAGGGCCATTTTCTGAGGACTGGAGGAGGCACAGATTGGAGGTCGGCGGATCCCAGAGATGCTGCCAACACCCCAGCCATGCTGGGGCAGGCTGAGGTCATGTAAGGAAGATGGGGCGTGCCCTGTAGAAACAAGAGGGCGACTCTGGGAACCCTGAGGAACTGCAAGCGGGAGAACTGGGGACTGGCCGGCACTTACCTCAGGAAGGCAACACAGTGAGCCAAACCCTCTCCCAAGACAGCACCATCTTTTCCTTTGAAGAGGCTAATAGTGGTGACCTGAGTCGTCTGCTTCTCTTACCAGGAGGAGTGGAGAGACCATCAGACACCCCTCTCTAGAAATCACAAGGATTGGCCCGGCTCAGGGCAGAGTGCGAGCACGGCGAGTAGATATGGTTTGATGGTGTTCTCCCCACTGACATTACTTTTCCCCAGGAAGGAGCTGAGTGTGTGGGATGTACCCTTTGGGCCCCCTTTCTGAAAGTACTAATCCTTTTCGGGGGGCTATGACAGGCACCGTAAAAGGCAAGCATGTTTCTCCCATTACCAGTCGGTCTGTTATGGCTTGAATACCAAATCTGAACAAACAGCTCTCTGCAGGCTGCTATCTTTTATTTTTCTCTGGGATGTATCTTGCTCTAGGCAGACTGTGCCTGACTTCCTCCCCACAAGGGCCATTTGGATGAGGACACTGTGGGGGAACAGGGCCCAGTAATTGAGTGCCTCCCGTCGCCACTCGGGCTTCCTCATCTTTCTCTCCCCAAGCCGGTGGCATCGTGCTGTGGACGTCTCCCTGAATGACAGATTCGCTCTTTTGGGATCCTAGTGCCTGATTCCATCAGCCATCCAAAGCCGGTGTGCTTTGGGAAGCCTGTGGGAAATTCAGCAGTCTTCTAAAGATATAGATTACCTGCACATCTGTCGGGCTTTAGTTAAACATGACTGACTAATTTATCCTACAGTGTGAGAGGGGGATTCATTTCCTGTGCAGGTTGACTTGGCAATTTTCTCTGCCTAAGAACACTGAGACTAGATGACGTGCATGGCAATTGAGAAGAAATAGGCACTATTCGTTTTTCATTTTCAAATGTGAGATTGGCTATCGAGTCCATATCACATTCCCTCAGAAAAACAGACCACATCCTGTCCTGTTTCGAACTGTGCAGCCTCTGAAAAGTCAGACGAGTGAGCACTGTCGCCCTGAGGTTCTGAGTTGGGGCCCGTAAGCTTGTCAGCACAGGCCTGCTCCTGAGGTCCATCCTGGTATCCAGGCAAAGCCACAAGTCACAGCCGACGGCAATAACTCCTTCCCTCCTGTGTGTGCACCTGGTATAGCATGACACGCTGGCTCCTGGCTTGAGTGGGCTTGTGACCTTCCTCAGCCCATCTTTAAACACTGGAGGGAAGGAGTGGAGGCACAACCCTGATGTCAGGATGTCATGATGAACCCCCCAAAGCTGGAAATCCCCAAGGGATGGCTGACATCACCTGGCACTATCCAGCACATTGTGCTGTGACGGAAATACTTCCTATCTGTGCTACCCTGTAAGAAGTCACGGCCACGGGGAACTGGGGGGCACTTGGAGTGGGGGGAGGGGTGCAACTGAGGAACTAAATTTTAACTTTCATTTTAATTCATTTCGATGTAAACAGCCACACATGGTGAACGGGAACTGTACTGGCTAACATGTGTATACATTTTCACCTGTTTCCTATGTGGCCAAAGGCAGTTTCGTTTAGGTGCATTTGTCTTGCTGGTTTTCTGAATGCTGTGATGTTTGCTTTAAGCTTACTTACACATGTTCAATTTAAAACTAAAAAAAAAAGTGTTAATAAAAGTCACAGCTGGCACATGCTGAGTAATTACTATACACCATGCGCTCTGCTTAGCGATCTAGACATCTTGTCTAATNCTCATTTCAGAGGCTTGCCTCAGACTTTCAACAGCTGATATCACTCTGTCCAACTCAGAAAAAACTCCTCCAAAGCTGTGGATCTGACCGGCCTAGGTTCTGCTCCCTGTAAACAGATATAAGGCATCTCTCTGATCTGAAGCCAATTGGCTAGATCTCTCTTCCATCGGCATTTCCAGGGCCAGGACTTGTGCATATAGATCTGATTCCTCCATGGGACAGGTTATCTTGGCTTTGAGTGATGAGTCCAAGGTCCCCAGGTGGTTATAGAACTAGTATAACGCTATCTTAAAAAAATTTGTTTCCATTGGTTATTGGTATCTTCTTAATGCTTCACGAACCAATCATGAATGAGACATTTATAAGCTATGTAGTCTGAGAGAATTTCTTTTCCCCCCAGCTTACATGAATGAAATGCCTACCTTTGTCCTACCAGGAGTCTTACCTTAGCACATCTCCCCACAGACAGAGATTACTCTTGGCTGACTCATAAAAATATGATTTATCTGCTTACAAATTATTTTTCAGATGGTGAAATCTAATAAATATGTGTTCAGGGGCATTTCCATTAAAAAGTAGATAAACAACGAATTTCAGTCAGTTTATAATGCTGCCTACTTAGAAAAAGTGGCAATGCTCGGACACTAGAGCAGCACCTGTGCCTTATGCCTTCCCAGCCTGGGGGTCAGCCTCACATGTTTTTGTTTATTACGTGCTGCTGTTTTCCAACCGCAGCTCGAGGAGGAGGCTGCACATGTCCCCAGCCCTCTGCTTGTTCTCCTTTGCGGCTCTTGTGTGAGAACCTGTTTACAGATCTCGCTGCCTGCTGGTCATTGCAAGCATCTCCTTGTCCTTCTCTGAAGACTAGTGGTCTTCAGAGCCCCTAAGTTAGAGTGTGGGCACCACCACTGCAGGTGGGGCATCAGCAGACTTGCCTACCACTCAGCAGTGCTTTTCTGGGGGCACCTTCCTATCCTGATCTCTGAGAGCCAGGATTGCTCAGTGTTTATCATTTTTAGAATCACCTGGAATGTGGGGTTAAATCCAGGTCCNAAAAAAAAAGTGTTAATAAAAGTCACAGCTGGCACATGCTGAGTAATTACTATACACCATGCGCTCTGCTTAGCGATCTAGACATCTTGTCTAATATCGCAGTCACATAAGGACATACTGAGTTCACAGATGAGGAAACCCAGGCGCTGAGAGGCTGCCTTGTGGGTATCACCCGGCCCAGAAGTCGTAAAGCGGGGCTTCCTTTCTGGGCTGAGAGTCCAGAGCTGGTACCCTCTGCTGCCTGGCATGTCAGTTCTCAATGTCATTTCCTGGCTGGCATTGTAAGATACAGCCCTGTCCTGGTTGTTGAAAGCAAAGCAGAATCTTGAGGTCTTTAACAGCTTGGGTCTACACAGTGGCCACACAGTCACTGTGTGCTTTGCCGAGTTGAGATCTATCTGGTTCCTGGCTGGAATGCGGGCAGCAGGTATAGAGAGCGCGCTGAGCTTGCATAGATTCCACCTGGGTCTGCTCACCTCCCCTCAAATGGAGGGTGGGAGAGACTTTTTCTGCCTGAGGTCTGGGAAGTTTGGCTCTGTTCTCCACCAAGCCCCAGGCTAAGGGAAGATGGGCTTGCCGGAAAGCACACATGGGTGGTGGTTAAGGAGGAGGAGAGGGTCTGTATGATGCTAGTTTCTTCTAGAGATGATTCACCCTGCCCTTTGCAAGGCAGATAGGGCTTATCGCCTCAATTCAGTGGGAGTCTGCACTCACTGAAGGATGGCTTGGAGTTTTGGCGAGACAGTCTACTCATTTGTCACTGCCCCCATGCCTTCCAACGGAGAACCTGGGGTCTCTCTGTGCTGGTAGAATCCAGCCTTAACCTATGTCTGGTCAGTGCCGGGAGACGGTCAGAATTTGGCTCTGCACAGTAACATTGTTTCTGCTTGGCTTCTTGGCAGCCCGTGTCCGCTAGCTTTAGAATTTGGGAAAAGTGACAGTTGTACAGTTCACTTATTGGGATTTTGACCTCTCAGATCTCTAATTTCTGTCCCTCCAGATGCTCAAGGTTACTAAACACATTGTTTTTGTTTGTTTGTTTTATGTCTATTCGTAGCAGCCCACTGCCTGGACCCTTTGTCAAAATTCTCAATACATAGAATTAGGGTAAAATTTGGAAGCTACTGTGAAAGTCGTCTCCCTTCTCTGCACCACCGGCCCTCCTCTGGGATTTGTTCCCTCAGGTTCTACCTCATTGCTCTGCGAGGCCTTCCAGTGCCCCCCCTCTCCCCCAGCCATTGGGATTTTCTTCTCGTTCTCAGGAGTATTCCTTGGCCCCAATTACTCCGTCCTGCCTAAAAGATGAGCTGGACATCTACAGGTGGTCAGAAGGCCAGCAAAATGCCCCACACCCACAAATCCAAACCTTGGGCTAAAACAAAATTGAGAATCTGCTATTCCTGGGACCTTCTGGTGTCCCGGGCAGCCTTTCCCTAAGAGCCTTAGCTATTCCTGAGCGTTCATCTCGGAATGAGTTTAGTGGAAACACCATCTTCTCTGGCAAACTGCAAGAGCAAGTTTTATCGGCTTAGCAAGCGGTATCTGTGACAGTGTTTGAGGCTGCTGCACAACTGTGAGGCTGGCAACTTGCTTTAATAGCTTGGAGGCAGCCTGGGTTCAGCTGTGAACAATGCTGCCTGCCCTGGAAGTCTAGGCTCTCTGTCACACTCCTGACCTGTGACAGCAGCACCTTTGGGAGGTTTCAACGTGGGGGTAAGGAGTTCTGTCGTGGCTGGGCAGGGAGGCTTGTCTGGGCATGGCTTCGCTGATGGCACCGCATGGTGAGGACAGAGCTAACAGGAGCAGAAAGACTACGGACTGACAGGTCCTTCCATTTGCTTTTCTCCAGCCTGCACGGACAAGGAGCTGAGGAACCTGGCTTCCCGGCTGAAAGACTGGTTTGGAGCCCTTCACGAGGATGCAAACAGGGTCATCAAGCCCACCAGCTCTGACACAGCCCAAGGCAGTAAGACCACTTTACTCTTGCTAATTTATTTTGTTTAAAATTCCACATTTCCTACGTTATTAGACAGTGTTGATTTAGTAATAGCATTTTGGGGTGAACAAAGAAACACTACATGAAACACACACTGACTTAAAATATGTCCCAATTTCAGAAATATTTACATCACAGAGGAGGGGGAAATGCCTTAGCATCAAGGCCGTACAGAGACTTATGCATGTTTTGGATCCATGGATGAGAATCCGCGTATGCAGAGAGGGCAGACTTAGGTTATATGTAGATTTTCGACTCCGTGGGTGCCCAGTGCCCTAAACCTCTGGTGTTTAAGGGTCAGCTGTGTTTTTAAAAGTCTGGTCACAAAATTGTTTAGTATAGACATTTTGGAAAATATATATAAAAATACAAAAAAATCTATAAACCCATCATTTTAACAACTGTTAAGCATGTTGTGGTATATACTTCTTTTTCCTTGTCATAGAAAAAGAAAAAAAAAGTGT